TGGACCAGTTCCTGCTCACTGGCTGAGCGAGGCACGGGAGCAACGCCGAGGGTTGCGGTCCCGTTGCCGGTCCCCGGTCCGGTGCGGGGGCAACACTGAGGGTTGCGATCCGTTGCCGGACACGGAAAAAGACAAAAGACAAAAAACAAAAACAAAAAAAACAAAAGCACTATGGAACTAAAAAACGAAAACTACTGATTCACAAATAAATCCCAAAAACATAATCAGAGGGAAAGAAGTTAGATGTAAACGTCTATTTTTCTATATATCATTAAGTTTTAGAACAAGCAAAATGAATTCAAGTGACAGCAATGCCATCAATGATTGCTGATGTGGGTGGGGGGTGACTTGAAGGGGCTTCAGGGACTGCACTAAGCTGATGGAGATCATCTGAATCTTGATATCATGGTAGTCATAAAGGTCAAACACAAGTTATCTGTCAAAACTCATAACTGAACTCTTAAGACCTGTGCACTTCACAGCATGTAAATTACGCCTCAGGGAAAATGACAACCAAGTATGGTGAAAAGGGAAGAAATTCACCGCAGTTGACTGCCTGGGGGGCGGTTTAGGCAGGGCTGTGACAGAGTGAGCACTGGAGCGGGCTGTGTGTGACCCTGACTGTGCTGAGGCCACGGCCAGGTGTGGCAGGCAGAACGGCTGGGACAGACACGTGGCCTCGCGTCTCCTTCCTTTGGGAAAACCTGTGTCTCCCTGCTGTAAGAGCTGCCTTTCTAAGACTCCTTTCTCTTCTGACTGCCCCGGGGCAAGGGCACAGACAAACATTCTCAAGGCTCTCACAGAGGCCAGAACTTAAACCACCAAGACAGCTTTATTGTCTTCCTTACCGCACAAGGAATGGTGACACAAACCTCCACCTCTCGGCAAAATTTTAACGCCTGCTGCCCCCACCCCCTCCAGTCTGGTCCTGCTCCACCTTCACCCCATCTCAGGCTCACTCCGGGCCGTGCACCCGCTGGTGCTGGATCAGATGGAAGCTCAGGCGGAAGGCCTTGCCACAGGCGGTGCAGAGGAAGGGCTTCTCACCCGTGTGGACCCTCTGGTGCCGGAAGAAGCCCGACAGCGCCCGGAAGGCGCGCCCGCAGTCCTGGCACGCATAGGGCTTCTCCCCGGTGTGGATCCTCCGGTGCTCGCTGAGGAAGGAGCTGCGGCTGAAGGAGCGCCCGCAGTCCTGGCATGCGAAGGGCCGCTCCCCAGTGTGGGTCCGCTGGTGCTGGATGAGGTTGGAGCTCTGGCTGAAGGCGCGCCCGCAGTCTGTGCATTCATAGGGACTCTCTCCATGGTGGGATCTCTGGTGCCGGACGACATTTGAACTGTGGATGAAGGTCTTCCCACACTCACCGCATTCATACAGTCTCTCTCCAGTGTGAATCCTCTGATGCTTGGTAGCATCTGACCTCTGGCTGAAGGACTTGCCACACTCAGTGCACTCGTAAGGCTTCTCTCCCGTGTGCACCCTCTGATGTCGGATGAGGTTGAAGCTCTGGCTGAAGGCTTTCCCACACTCCTTACACACATAGGGCTTCTCCCCGTTGTGCACCCTCTGGTGCCTGACCACGTGCGAGCTGTGGATGAAGGCCTTTCCGCAGTCGCTGCACTCGTAGGGCTTCTCCCCACAATGGATACTCTGATGTTTCGCCACATCTGAATAGCACTTGAAGCTTCGGTCGCAGGTGCTGCACTGATAAGGCCGCCCTTTCCAGGGCCGTCTCCGATCTGTCACGGAACCTGCGTTCACAGTGGCGTCAGGCCCAGACATGCCATTTTCAGGGCCATTCTGCCCTCCAGTTCTGTCATAGATGATGGGTCCCTGAGGGGCCTCTCTGGGCCTCTCCCCAGCTTCTTTGTTTTCACAAAGGTCAAGAGACGCCAGTGCCTGGGGTGGCCCCCATGTCGGCCCCGGTACAGCGTCTCCACAGCCTTCTCCTTCTAAAGGCTCCTGCTTTGGCGTCAAGCCTGTGCTCTGAGCTGCCTGCTCAACACCTGAAGTGGCACACCTGGCAGCCTGGCTGCCACCTGATGCCTGGGCTAGAGAAGCAGCTTTCACAGCTGGAAAAGAGATCAGACACGTGAGAGTTAAGACACAAGAAAAATGTACTGCACAATATACTCTGCATGAACTGAAGATGGCACGGGCAGTCTGTGGCAGTGAAAGAGTAACGATAAAGTCAGTGTCCAGATGGCGCTGTTTTCCTCTCTGCCCTCCTAGCACTGTGGTTACAGAGGTGGACGAGGGACCAGAATCCTTCACTGTGACTCCAGAAATGGGGCTACACCTCTGGCCGCAGCCTGCCCAGTCTCAGGAATGGAGGAGAGAAGCACAGGCTCTGGGCACTGCTTCTGCCACATGGCCTGACAAGCAAAGGAAGCTGGCTGGCAGCAAAACAACATGAAGGGGAAGCAGGGGGCATGGGGTCAAGAGCACCCCGTCAGTGCAGGTGTCCCGGTCCCAGCTTATTTCTCTGACCTGGGATTCCCCAAGACAACACTATCTCAACGACTCCCTGACCCACCAAACCCAAAGGGCTTCTGTCACATGCAAGTGAGAGTCCTTACTCAGTCAGAAATTAGCACTAAGAACTGTTAGCAGTAGCCCATCAGGGGGCCGCCCCGTCCAGGCTGAGCACCTGTGGTCCTTGTTGTTGGGCAGTGAAGCAGCTGGCTAAACTCGGTCCTGTTGGCTCATAGGGACAGGCCATGTGGCCACTGAGACAAAAGCTTTAAGAGGTGGTAGCAAAATACTGGGACATCAGAATGCTGGCTGTTTACCACAGACTTCATAAAAGATGGGAAAGCCCAATCCCGAGGCAGTCCAGCAGATGGGCAGACTGTCAGGGCACGCAGGTCAACCAGGCTGTGGGAAGCCCTTCTGCCCACAGATGGCACCTGTGGCAGCTGAGCCAAAGTGGCTAGATTCTGCACTGCACCTGTGCAAGGGCTCAGGCTGTGCAGATGCGATGGAGACCACGTGTGGGTGGGGCTGGAGACAGGGACACCATCCCAGGGCAGATCAGAACAGCCAGGCTGCCATGCCTGTCTTCCCTATGCCCCAGCCCTGAGCCATCACACTGAGTAGCAGGAGGCAGGGATAGGCCCCAGCCCAGCAGTCAGAACAGAAGTCCCTCTGCAGAGGCCAACCCTTGTCTTGTGGTTTGGCAGACTTGGAAGTTCAAGAAACTGACCAAAAGGCATTGGTTATGAAGTAAAAGAATCAGTCAAAATTACAATGAGAAGGGCCACACCCAATCTCTCAAGTGCTGAGTACCAGGCCAGGCCTTCAGGTCCCTAGGACAGGAGCTCAGGCTCCGAGCACCTCCTTACTCTAAGGCAGCCCCAGGCAGCAAAAGGCTGCCCCTGCACTGTCCAGCCCTGCACATGGGGGTCCTCCCCAGTGACAACCTCTCAGGTGGCCCCAAGGGGCCCTAAACATAAAGCAGTGCTTTCATGGGGTGGGGAGGATTTTTTTCCCCAGGGCACATTTGACAATGTCTGGAGACATTTTTGGTTGTCACAACTGGAAAGGGGCTGCTACTGGCATCTAATAGGCAGAGCCCAGGGATGCTACTGAACATTCTACAATGCACAGAACTGCCCCTCGACAGACTCATCCATCCCAAAAACGTCCACAGTGCCAAGACTGAGAAACCCTGACAGAGAGAAATCTTCCCAGAGGCAGAAGCTGGGGCTGCCAGACTTCCTAACCAAGGACCTCGGCCCACTGGCAAAGAGGCCGCCAGCACACGGACGCCATGAGATCTGACGGGCCGTTGTCTACCTCCCGCCCTTGCCCTGCTTCTGAGGATGTGGTATATGTTTTGCGCCAGCAACCGAGACATGGTGTTCTCCCTGCATTCCTTTTCAGAATGGGTGGTTTTATGTGACTGATCTGTTTTTCCTCCACTACTCTATGTTATGTCGGCACCTGCTAAAATGATCACTTTGTCCAATGCTGCAAGATTGTGAAGAACCCCACGTGGACCGGATGTGGAGATGGTGAAGTTCAGACACAGAATGGGAGGGAGGGCCAGGGAGCCTGGCTTCAAGAGCAGCTCCTCACCCCACATCCCCCAGAAGGGAGGGGTGTCTGTGGGTGGACACAGGGCTTTCTCTGAAGTTGTGGGAGACACAGGTGCAGGTGTGTCAGGGTGTACCCAGACTCCCACTGCTGCACAAGAACCATCAGAGAATGAGCAAGAAATGCTTCAAACGCTGCACATTTCTTTGCTAAGGGAAGTGGGTGCTGCTGTTAGCGCTAGTTATATAACAGTGCAGTGACAGCAACAATGACAGAGGATGAGTCCTCAGTTTCCAGAGCCCTCAAACATGGCCTGAAATCTTCAGAAAAGAGGGAGCCTGGAGTTTGAGAGGGCAGATGCCAAAAGGTGGCACGGTAGCCAGGCCTTTCATTTATTAGGCTCTTGCTGGTCCCTCCTCTGAGTCCAGGCCAGCTGGACCCTGAACAAACAAAACCAAGTATTAACATACTCGTCTTCAGAAGTCTCCAGGCCAGCAGGAGGGGACCAGAGAAAGAGAGCAAGAGGTGTGGCCAGGAGAGCAGCCTGCAGAGGCCCCAGGAATGGAGCAGGAAGAGGTGAAGACACAGGCAGTGGGAGGGGCGCAGAGAGCTGTGACTGGGAAGGAGGCTGGGGGCGGGGGCGATGCTGCCTGAGTCCAGGCTGCTTCCCCTTAGCAACCAGGCAGATGGACTTGGGGGAGCCCAAATTCCTAGGCTGAGCCCATCTCCCGCACTCCACCAGGATCCTTCCCCTCTGGGCCTGGATGGGGGTGTCCCCTCGCACCCTCACCTGTGGGGGTCTCCATGAGGGTATGCCTCTCCGTGGCGTCTGGAGACCCAGGCTGGGGGCTCTTCTCCTTGCTCCACTTTGCAGTGGGAACAATTTCTGCTTGGACACAGGAGAAGAAAAAAAAAAAAAAAAAGACAGTGAGGTCAGGCTTTCAGAGAAGAGAGGGCCAGAACAGGTTCAGGGGGACCAGCTGGGCCCACTCTGTCAACAGCAATGAAGAGGGTCCCGACTACACAGACACCCCAGAAACTGGTGTTCCGTGGGATACCCTGGGGACTGCGGTCCAGGCTCTGCTGGGCCCTCAGCCCTGGCCTGGGCGGATGCAGAGCCCAGACGGGCATCTGCCAGCTGCCTGCTGCGGGCTTCTTAGCTCCACAGGGAACATGCCCAGCACCTCCCACCAGTCCTCAAACGTCTAGGGAAATTTCCATGGATTTTTAAATTT